TATAAATACGTACCGTTTGAGATTGTGGTCCTTCAACCTTTCATTTTAATTTTCTCCAATATTAGATCCTGCTACATCTTCCGTTGGATCGCGGTATAGGTTCCGGATCTTTCTTCTTTTTGAATCCTTGAATTTTAAGCAGCTTCCCAATGACGGTAGTTCACTCAATGGTGGTGGAAGCTGCCAATTCCTTATAATTGATTGCTTACAACAGGCAAAATAAACAATATTTCGGTTCCTCATTCACAAGTAAAAATTACTTTCACTAGATATCGATCCGAGTTTCAATCCTCTACTTGATCCACCATGACAAGTTTGTCGGTTTGGAGTTGGAAAACCACTGACTTGCTGGGATTAGGATTCAAATTGCCGTGAAATTATGTAGAGCAAGTTTGCAAATGCTCATTACAGCTAAAATTATATAAATATTTATATAATTTTTTTCGGATTTATGAACTTATGAGATATTTTAATGACAATTGTTAATTACAAGATGCAAGAAGAAAAGGTAAAGTGTGTGTATGACACATAAAACCTGTCAATTTAGCTTTCAGAGGGTCACAATAGCGATTAGCTGTAACGATGAGCAACGCGATGAGCGAGCAATCAGCGATCATAAAATCGCTAGTTGTGACCTTCTGAAACCAAAATTGACAGATTATATGTCTACCACAAATTTTTCCACCTCTTCTTGATTCTTACAACTTAAAAATATTATTTTAGTATCTCATAGCTTCATAATTACGAAAGATAGCATTTTAGCTGTAATGAGCAATTACAAGCCTGATGTAGAGCAAAACAAACAACAACAACGAGTACCGTGTTATGATTATTCGTTTTGGTGACATAAGGTCACACACACAGTCACTGTTTATGAGCAGACTAACTAACACTTGTGCTTCAAAGTTCCACATTTGATTGACAGAGGCGCTGTTATCAGTGACGTTTGACATTTGTATGGGAGAAAGAAACAGTTGCCAGTCTTCTTGATTTGTAGTCTTCGCTTATAGGCTCTTCACACACTACCTTCCAAAAATGCACTCTAACAACGTGCCTCACGTCTCTGAATCCCATCCAAATTTCACCAGATCCACTCTGTTCCACAGCTCCAGATTCACTGACCTTCTCTCCCCTTCATCATAGCTCATCCACCACCCTTTCGTTATGCGTTTTGCTATCTACTACAAATTAATCGTTAATTTTCTGAGCATACCGAACACTGTTTCTTTTCCTATCGTCCTATATGCAACAAAAAACTGTTACCGTTCCGTAATAATATAATAAATGTTAAATGTACGCAAACAAAAGAAATTTGTTTATAGGCTATAGCAACCGAGCAAACAAACCATCGCTAGATATTTCTTAAGTATTTATATATATTCCCGGAGGTATATCGATAGAAATTCCATTTTTCACACTACAGAAACATATTTTTAGACTAAAATTAAATGGATAGTTCAAGATGGCAAATTTTTTGTAAAATTTGTCCAATAAGTAGATTTTCAAGCAGGTGGCAAAATTGCCCCATTTTCCCCTATATGAAACTGGGAAAAATATGTTGGACATCCGCGAAAACCGGAAATTTGATTTCTTGAATTCAGTCGATACCCTGAAATTGGTACCAAGCCTGCGTTAACGGATGGTTAGCCAATTTAATTTATCGGAGTCCTCAAACATTTGCTCTAAAATTACATCATCTCTCTCTCATAAATGCATAAATAAATGCAGCTTCTTAACCAAGGAATCAAAAATATCTTCAAATGACAAAATGACAAGCGATCAATGAATCGAATGATAACGCTATGTCAGAAGTGGAAAGCAATAATGATATAATCTTCTTCCTTTTGACGTAGAACTACGTCTTTGATTTCTATGTGGCGGTACACTTTGTGAAAAGCAAAAATGGAACATGTAACAAATTAAGAAAGATTTTGAACGTTCATAACTCAGCTGCCCCTGGTCCAATTTCAATAATTTTATCACCAATCGATCAGAAATATGGCTACGCATTGATATCAATAAATTTTCAACAAGAAACTATTGAAAAACTGGTAAATGTCCAGCATTGTCCAAAAGCGTCGAATTAACTAACAAATCCACCAATTACCTACATGCATATGCTGTTTCCCCAGCACAGTCGTCAGAGAGTAGTAAGTAGACGAAACAAGTCGAAGTGGCATTCGCCTCCGATCCTCGGGCGCGTGCGAATAGGTGGGATGGAATTGCGTAATGTTTTGCACACTCATCGCCATATTCAGAACCAAACGCAAATTCTTCAAGATAACCACCATCCGTCGTCTGGCTCGCCGTGGCGGTGTCTGACGTATCTTCTGTCTGATTTACGAGGTGTGCTGAAGGTGTTCCTGGAAAATGAGGTCCGTGATGCTGTCACCTACACTAAACACGCCAAGCGTAAGTGGCCATGGATGTCCTCTTCAATAAAACGGCCCTTTTCAGGGCCATCAAGCTTACATCAGTAAAGTGTTGGAATAGTAGCCCCCAACGACCACACAAAATGCTCTCCAGAGTTGTAATCATGTACCTAACGAAACTTGGAAGCAGGGGTGCAATTGATTTTGATTGATTCTCTTAATCAACTTTCTCTTTGAAAAAAAAAAATACTACAAATTTGGTAAGCCCACAATTCAAAAACGGAAAGAGTTGAGATAATAGATAATTGATCAATTAAAAGAACTAAATGCTCTTCACATTTATTCCGTCCACTAGCGGTCCTACGTCAAGCTTCCGTTCGTGCCCCTAGGCACAGACCCTTCTACTTTTTTATCATGACAAGCAGCCCGTGCGACACAGCTCACTCGGGGCGACAAAAGGAAACGAGCAAATTGTTGGCAAGCTGCTGCACGAAATAAAACCAAAGATGATACACGTGTGTTCATAGGAATTTTTTTATTATGTCCGATCAAGCTATGTCCTCAACCTTGTATATTGCAACAAAGCAGGCAAGCAATATAATATTATCCTTCTACCACTCCGATCGAGCTATGTTATAGAGCGAGTTTGTCATGGTAGTCGTAGCAACCGTTTTGTCTGTTTCGTTGGTTGCTTTATGTGTTTGGGTTCGCTGTTCTTAAGGTTCAATTTACTTTGATGCATTTTTTAAAAAATGCTCACCCCTCACCATCCCTCTCCAAAGGGGGAGTTTGGTAAAGAGAGATGAAAAAACCGATTTGTACCTTCCTTAAAAGTTGTCCTAGCTCGCTATTCTAATATCTATATGCAATCTTCACACTGCCGTACTCTAACGGAACTATCAACTCTATGCTTTCATCTACTCCATCTATCGTATAAAAATTACCACTACAGTCTGTTATTTGAAATTAGCATCTTCAACTATGTAAATCGTTGACTTCACGTAGAAGTAATACTAAAACATATAGTCAAAATATATGAGCATTTTGTGTATGGAAATTCCAACCAAATCTCCTATAGGGTAGAGAACGACTTCGGCATAAGTGCCCATTTTGGGCCTATCTAGCAGAAAACATCAAATAAATCCATGATTTCGTCTTTAACTGGTAAATTATGCGTTTGGTACGATACTTTAGTTCGAATGCTACCGAACGAAGTCAATAAAAACGCGTGTTATGAAAGTTTGCCCCCAATATTCTCAAACACAAATGAAGTGCTCTGACCGAATCAATCTTTATCTTCATCCGATAGGCCGAAGTAAATTCATTGGCGTTTCAATGCGTTAGGCCGAGTTTAGAATCCGTAGGCTGAGTTTGGCGTCAAGAAGCAGTGTTAGACTTTTAACATTATCTCAAAAATTTATTTTTCTTTATAATAATATAATGGAAAGGTTAATACACTGAAGTCTTTTTTACGCGGTTTTTTTTACACGGTTTTTTTTACACGGTTTTTTTTTACACGGTTAGTGCCGCTGAGTCGCAATTTACGCGGTACGTTTTTAACGATTTCTCGACAACGGTACAACCTATCGACTTGATTCCAATCACATTATCCGTTTCAAGCTATAGGTAATCGAATGGCATACTGAAAAAAAAATCACAATTTTTGGTGTCAATACAGAAATTTTTAAAATATGTCTATATGAACCATAGCATGCTATAATTACGAATGGCATCGACATCCGATTTATAAAAAATATTTAAGCATGTGAAAAATCAAAATTTCGGTAGTTTTTTTTACGCGGCACGTTTCCCCCGCGTAAAAAGCAACTCCAGTGTACATCTGAAAGCCATCAGTAATAAGAACATTCCGTTTGGCGCTAAACTACGCTAGATTCGCATTTTCAAGCTTATTGCTTAGCGCATATTAGCTTATTGCGTGCTCTCAACTTAGTGTTCTAAATGCACTTCCACAGTTATTAATTGAGAGCTTTCGATACCAATACCAATGCATGAATTTGTATATTGTGTGGCAAGCACAATGATATCCTATGCCCAGGGAAGTCGAGAAAATTTCCAACCCGAAAGATTCCCTCGACCGGATCGGGAATCGAACCCGCCTTTACTGACTAGGCTATGAGGCCCCTGCGTTGCATGAGCTGTCTGTATTTTATTGCAATATACGAGCAGAATGCACATAATTAATTAATATCTCCTTAATACTAAATTGAATCACGATGATGTTCTTTCATAAAGTTTAAGCTTCCTTTTTCAGAAATTCTGAGCTTAATCGAGTTTGCTGAACCAGTTCTATGCACGAAAGAGTGAAGGAATTTTATTTCTCCATACATTTCAACCAATATCCCTTTATAAATTTTAAATCAAAAGCGCCAGCTCGTGTTACATCCGAATGAACTGATGTTTTCAGAGAGTGGTTTTCTCACCTAATGTTACAAATCTAGGGGTTGGCCCGTTGAAAAAAAAGATAAATAATTTCCCCCATATAAATGTGGGTCAATCTATTGAGGACACTGTGATAACCACCATGAAGTAACATGCATGCCATGAAATAGTCAGGGATTATTTGTTTCAAAATGCGAATTGACTACATTTCATCTAAATACGCAGATAATACTCGTCTACTTAATTTATCACATTAACACATAGTAACAGGTTAATAAATAAATCGGCAGCCTATAAGATTTAGCCACCTAATTACAGCGTAAAGGTAAGTTAAAAATCAGATCCGGTAGGGCCGTTTCCGATTATCGTCAACCCTTTCCGTATTGCACTAGGAAGAAGCAAAGCAATCACTCGCTTACGAGTAATTCTTGGCATAGATGGGTACCCTTCGCTGCTGGTGATTCATCATCGTTTGTATCATTTTCTCCGATGCAGTCATCTGGGCATCAGGGGAACTGGGAAACAGTACCGGACCGGTTCGTGACTGTCGTTTGCCGAGAGTAGTCGGTGGTTGGAAATAACTGGAATAGTCCGGTCGTGGAGGACCTCCACGGGCCTTGAATTGGTAAACTTTTGGAGTGGTGAAATGTTTCAATCCTGGTGTGGTGAACGGCTTCAACAGGTTTTTCTTGGGACTGTTCGATTGGCGAATGCCACTCTGCTTGACCTTCTGTAGAGTTACAGGATGGGCAACTTGATTATTGTATTGAGCGAATGGTTGGTAGAGAACCTCCTTATTATAATATGGACCCAGTTCTTTCTCTCCAAGATGGGAAAAGTCAACCGAGGAGGAGATGGGTTTCAGTTTCGAAAGGTCGGGTGCTTGGACTTCTTCGATCCGGATCGTTGGTTTGAAGCTATCTTTGGTAAAGTCAAACTCCTTGGAGAAGAATTCCTCCTTCTCACCGCCGAAGGACGGGCGGTAACCTTTGTGTTCGTGAGCAAAGTTAACGTGTGGTTTCAGTTCCAGTAGCGTTGGTGTAGGCCGTTTCTTTTCACTAAGCTCGGCAATATCCTGCTCGTGGTGAGGAACGTCCGAGCTCAGAATGATGTGATCCTGATTTTTGCTGAAGTGATTGATCTTCGATTGCGAATGATGCTCATCGTACCGAAAATGATCATGTTCGTCATGGATGGGATGGGCATTGGGGCCATGGGTTTTGACTACCTGTAACGAGTGGATTTGATTATATGAACGGATAATGAATAATATTAGAGCTGTTTTGCAAACCGCATTGAATCCTGATTTCGAGTCGGCCGTATAGTCCACCTCGCGGATTGATCCGTCGGGCTCTACCACGCTGTAGTGACCTTTCACGATGCCATCGTCACGGGTTTCCCACTGGGATTTCACGTCACCGCTGTGCAGATCCTTCACACCGTAGCTGAATGAGTACGATGGATGTGCCTGAGGAAAGAAATAGTATCAAAGTGAGTTCAATGTGACTCGATGTAATTTTTAACTAATCTATCCCATTTTAGAATATTTTCATTTAAGCTTTTCGTCAAGAACAAACTTCGCACGATGTGGCTGTCCAAACATAATTTATAGCACCTCCAGAGCGCCGACATCACTCGAATGATTGACAATCGACACACATTCATTACACGCTGCTGCCGCCGCCATGCCGCCGGTGCATTTCACAGAGCTGTCTCGCATTCTGAAGTGCGCCACGCGGACTCGGCCAGCTGTAGATGGAGCTACAAGGGTCAATAATTAAATCTGATGAAAAACAAAACTTTTCATCCGGTTACCTGCCAGCATCAGGCAACTTTGTTGTGCCAATTAAATTGCTGTTTGTTCCTACATACCTACTATCAACTCTCTGTCACACACTTCATTTACCATCCTATGCTCTGCTGCTCCCGCTTTGATCAATATTGCCCGAAAGCGGTATGTGCTTAATAAGAAATTTATGATAATTTTTATAATGGCTGAAATATGCTAAAATCAATGTTAATAAAAATTTTATACCTTATTAGCATGCACAGCCCGGGCACTGGGTCAGTCGATCAGGTGCAAGAGCATTCCGCCTCCTCCCTTTAATGCGTGCAGGGCTGACGGGGACGGTTCAATGCTCAGGCTGACCACCCGGGTTCAACGTAATCTGTGGTGGGGTGCAGCCGCGCAGTGGGTACTTATACGCACCGACATTGATTGGTTGGAGGCTTATATTTCTCCATCGTGGTTGCGCATAATTTGAATTGACGTTGAGTGAAGCCGGCCATAATTAAGTGCAAAACGAATCTGGCGCAGAACGCTGCTGGAGGTTGGCTTAGATTTTAGAATTTAGTTCGCATTGGATAGAACCCTCCTTAGAATGTAACCATTTACTCACCACCGTGCAGTCCACTGAGGGCAGAATGTAAATAGTACACCGAATGTCAATCCTTAGGTCGTTCCCGCAGGAAGATTACAGTTCTGGTTATACAAGTTTTTATCACAAAAATTGGTATTTCCATGAGTGTTTTGGTATGGAACGATTTAATATTATTACCATCAATGCTTACAATGGCACAGTGATACAAGAGTCGTATTCAGGAGGATATAATTGACAGCGAAAAAACATTAGATTTAGGTAAATACTTAGTGTCTTCGGAAAAGTTATAGGATTTATTTTAGCCAATCTGTGGATGTAGTTTTTTTTTGTTATCCTGTTACATTTGAAAGATCGTATTTTCAATCATCTTCGGCGAGAAATGTGCAAATTACTTTTTTGTTTAACTCATTCAATTATCTTTTGGAATATTTTGTCTAACTTAAATCATCTATAACTATTCAACACAAGTTATAAAGGTGCATACACAGCAAAAAATAAATTTTAATATTACATCCAAGAGGATGCACTTTAATCATGTCGAAAATCTAATATAATTTTTATGGCCACAAAAATAAACAAATGCAGTAAAAGCAGCATAATGACAGTACATGCACTGTTATTATGATAATTCTGTCCTTTTTGGCAAGTAACGTTACACCATATTTTCGATACGATTGAAGTGCATCCGCTTTGATGTGATATCAAAATTAATTTTTTACTGTGTAGAACAATCCAATAATGGAAAATCAATGCATAAATCGATAATTAAAAAAAAGTTTTCAGGGCACATCCTATGTTATTTATTAAAAAATAACATAGAAGATGAACCATGCGAGATAAAAAGCTAATATCTTCAGCAAAAGTGCTTCAACTAACTGCAACAACTCTTCTTTAAAATAGGATTGATTTGGTTTGATTGATTGGTTCATTGATTTCTATTGGTTCATGTTCTATTTTTTATAAGTTACAAAGGATGAGTTCTGATTTTTTTTATTGATTAGCATTTGATACATTGATTTCTTGCAAATTGTTTATTCAAGGCCTTATTAGAACCTCTGATGGCACCCAGATTTGCTGAACCAATCAAGTTGCTTCCTCTTATTGTTGGAAAGTAAAAAAAATAAGAAAAGTGTAAATAATTCAAATATCTCAAAAAGTAGATCTTCACATTATATATTTTTTGAAAGAAGCTCATGAAAAATGTAAACTTTTTGAAATATTGGAAACCATGGACACTTGCAAATTGACTAAAATCGATGAACAAGAATTTTTGGTAAAATGTTTGAACTGTTTGCTAGTACGCTTTTTAAGTAATTTTTACAGACGAAACAATATTTTAAACGTTATAAATCTTTATCAGTGTAAACAATTACAACAAAAAAGGTTGTTAACAAGAAGTTTAAAATTATACCCATAAGTTGATATTCTACAATTTCTTTCAAATTTCAAGCGTTCCTATAAAATACTCCAAAAGTTTTCATTAATCATAAGATTTATTTTAAAAATAAATTGTAAATATTGAAGAGACACATTTAGAGATTTAAGTTTTTAAATATTACCGGGTACATTTTTTTCCAGAAAGACAATACTTTTCTAAACAATTTTATCTCGGACGTCATTTTGATCAGAAGTGACATTTTCGTGCTACAATTTACTAAAAATGACAAAGACGTCATTTTGAAAAAAAAAAAAAAATGCAAGATTCAAAATGGCTGATTTTTTTTAGCAAAATTGATAACGATTGCCCATAACACACAATTATGCAAAGTTTGATGTGATTCGAAGAAGGTTGAGTCAATATTTTAATTTTTTTTATCGTCTTTGGCCTAGAACTCTAAAACACTTATCGAAAAAATATCAAGCATAAGAAATTTTTGAAGATGAATATTTTTTTAAAACTAATTTGACATATTGATGATGAATGTATCATACATTTAAGCGTGGGCATGCAATAATCATTTTAATTATTAAAAAAAATTCGTATAAATTGTAGTAAAATCTGAAACATCGGTATTCTGAGGAACCTTATGTGTACATCGGTATCAAGTTCAAAAATCGGTACAAATACCGATAAATCGGTATATCTGGCAACGCTGCTTGGTTATTTCGTATTTTTCATGTTTCAAATCGTAGTATGAAAATATTGCGTCTAATCTAAATGATATCTCAGGCTTTTATACTTGAATAAATATATCTTAAAATATCCTTGTTCAATATTCATGATTGCAAAAAAGAGCTTCCCAAACAACTATTTTTGTTTTATTGAAGCTTTATAGCAGTTGATATAACCAAATTATAAAACCTTCACTGATGACCACATTGTTGTAACAACCTTCTGTTAACCGCTATAAAATTGGCCCAGTTTTAATGCTATAATTAAAACTTGATACGCGAACTACCTTAGGAGCATAGGTTTTCAGTCAGTTTTATCACACTCTACACGTGGTTGTTCAAAATTAAAGCATAAATCCTCCTCCTGTTCAGAAAGTTTGAACAGCCTTTCCATGACTACCAAAACACTATTTTACAACCGCATAAATCGCTTCTGAAGAAGTTGATAGAACATGATACGCATTTTGACAACCTTGAAGGTTTTAAGTTGGGTTTATGAATACTAAAATATAGGGATATTTCTATTTTGTCTACATTAGCACTATACATCAAATAATCATTAAAAGATTACCTATTCAGTAGATAACTGTTACTACTGTTGAAAAATAACCAGTCACATGTTATTTAATTATGCACAGAAAAAATGTTGAATAATGAAAGTGCATTATCGCCTATCAATTTAAGTGAAAAGACTGTACTCGAAAAAATGCTATAGACAAAAATGATCAATCTAAAATTAATTTTAGGTAGGATATTTTTTAAACCCTCAGGGAATAAATATACACATATTAGCTATGTTTTTACAAAGTTGGTTTATTCAACCTTCTCTCCTAGGCTAAATGCTCGCACCTTGAACTTAACGCTACCCATCAAATCCTGTGCAACACTTGCGCCATCACAACCAAAACAAAGTGTCACCTTCCTGGGACCGGAGAAAGGACAGCAGACGCTTCTGGAGGCATTTTTCTTGGCCGTTGATGGTGGCGGTCGTTATATACGGCTCTTGAATTTGTTGTACCCACAGATCGGCTGCCACACTAAGTACTTTTTGGCAAATTTGTCGACCTTCTCGCGGTACAGCTTCCTGTCGCGGGATTTGGCCATAGTATTCTGCTTATGGTTTCGGTTAGGCGCCTTCCTTACCTTGAAGACAAGAAGTTTGGCTCGCTTCATTGTCTGCTGGAAGATCCAGACGGAAGAATTGACCTTCTTCGCCACGTTCCGAATCGAAAGGTTCGGATTGCGCTTGAAGTAATCCCTCACCTTCCTTGCGTTCACGGGATCAGTCGTCTTCGCTTTTCTTCCGCTGGGTTGTCTGGGTCTCCTTGAACGATTTTATCACACGGGACACGGTCGAATTGTCGTTTCCAAACTGTTTCGTGATCCACCTGCGGGACTGGGCTGAATTTTCCACGACCATCTCGATAACCACTTGACAGATTGTGACGATATTTTTCACATGTAAACATTCCACTCTAAACTAGTTTTACTCAAAATTTCACAATTTTTTTCCCCATGCAATGAAAGTTATACACAAAAGAAAGTGTTGCCTTTTTTTCGAGTACAATCTTTATTTGTTCATATTGTGTGCAAGTTTCGTTATTTTTTCGTTATTACTTGCCGCTCCTTAAAAATGCGTCAGTGTACTCTCCTAAATTGGAATTCTAAAGCATAGCATAAAATTAATAGTTAAATCTTAGCATTTCCTAGTCCAACATGAAAGCGTTAAGTTATATCTTAGCTTATAGCTAGCTTGCTGGTTTTATTTGATACAACGAAACAAAACAATACAAAAAGCATGGCAACCTATCAAAAATTCAACATTTCAACCGATCCTGTAATCAAGATGTAACGGTAAAGAATGTATGAAGGGTTCGTGGATCTTTCGGAAGTGTATTGTAAAGTATAGTAGTGCATTTATTATCTGTGAATCTACGGCCTCTGACGGCCTCTGATAAGAATGATGGTTGTAATG